TTTTCCTGCTTTCTCCTCTAGGGTTTTGATGGTTTCCTGTCTCACATTCAGGTCCTTTATCCATTTTGAGTTTATTTTTGTGAATGGTGTGAGAAAGTGGTCTAGTTTCAACCTTCTGCATGTTGCTGTCCAGTTCTCCCAGCACCATTTGTTAAAGAGACTGTCTTTTTTCCATTGGATGTTCTTTCCTGCTTTGTCAAAGATTAGTTGGCCATACGTTTGTGGGTCTAGTTCTGGGGTTTCTGTTCTATTCCATTGGTCTATGTGTCTGTTTTTGTACCATATACATCGTACTTCTAATTTTAGGTAGTTATATGTTATTACAGGAATTCTCATTTATAATTTTGAACAATTTTTTAATTCCTCCTCTCTTTTAGTAAAAGGACCCAAACTTTGGCTCAACTCTTAGTACTTACATTTCTCAAAAGCTCTGTCATTCTGTCTGTCTCTCACCTACACATTTCGGTATTTGGATTCAGCTAATATTTTGATTCAGCTTTCTTAAGTACAAATGTATATGTGTAAGGATATATACATGTAATTTTCCAATGTTTATATCTTTGCCATTTTCCCTCACTATCTCATATTATTTCCTTCATTTCAGATATTTTGTTCTTCTAACTGAATTACACCATGTAGTGTTGCTTTCACTGAGTGTGAAATCAGTAAAACAGATGAGACTTTGCAGCTCTGAAATGCCTTATTTTATTTTTTATAACCATATTTCAGTAGTACCTTAAATTCTATCTAAATACCAGAACAAAATGGCCAACAAGATTTTAAAGAAATGACTTTCAAATTTCTTTTAGTACAAACAAGCTTTCAAAATAGGCATTACACTTATAAACTTTTTAATTATATGAGGTTGGGGGAAGATTGGATAGTATGGGAGACTTTGGAAGCCACCACAAAGATTTCCTTTGGCAGATAGTGTTCTCTCTCTTTATCCAGATACTTCATAATTTTTTTTCTTTTCAAGGAGAGGACAAAATGCACATGCTTGGAGGGGAAATCAATCTGGTAGTTGAGGAAAGAACCCACAACCCCTCCTCATCTCTCTTGAAGGCACACCCTGACCTGGTGACTTTAACATGTGGGACATGAGTCCTAACAGGGCAGATGGGGTGACATGATTCCACAGAATTTACGAATTTGTCTCTGCAGATGCTTTCACTATTGGCCTCAGTAGTAATTTGGCTCAGTATACAATTCCCTACCAACACTTCATTCCTTGGGGATATTTGTCAGTAGCTTCTGGCACCCATTTTTACCTTTGGGAAATGGAGCCTGGAGGTGGCCTTTGCACTTTCCCCAGGAAGTAATTTTAGGACGTTTCTGCAGACCCAACAAGCCTCTGTTGCATATTTTTCAATTGAGGTGAAATTCACAAAGAATAACATTAACCATTTTTACAGGTACAATTCAATGTACGATTTTTAAAATCTAATTTACCCTGGATTTCTTCATTTTACTATGAAGTGTCAACATACGGGTTTTATTTTTAAATGTGCATCCACTACCATTCAAATGGTCTTTCCTCATCTTTGGAAAATACTCCAATTACTTGCCTCTTGGGCAGCTGGGAGACAGCATTCTCCGTCCTTTCTTCCTGACACAGTAGATGTGACCTTGGCCCTCCTCATTCTATTCCCAAGTACCTGAAATCTCCATTTCTGGCCTATTCCGCAGTCTGGAAAGTTTCCTCAATATTGTGTTCCAGCTTCCTGACAAACTCTTCAGGCAGGTCTTCCCCTTGACAGAATGAAAGCTTAGAACGTATTCACTCAACTGGATTCTTCACCATTAAAAATTTCTAACTAATTTCTATCATTGCCTCTTCAAGTATCAGTCATATCCTTTTCTCAAAAATGCAAGTTCCGGGGGCACCTGGGTGGCACAATAGGTTGAGCGTTCCACTCCGGCTCTGGTCATGAGCTCGTGGTTTGTGAATCTGAGCCCCGCACTTGGTTCACTGCCGTCAGCCCACAGCCCACTTCCGATTCTCTGTCCCCCTCTCTCTGCCCATCCCCCACTCTTTCCTGTTCTCTCTCTCTCAAAAATAAAGATTTTTCTTTAAAATTCAAGTTCCTCCATCATCTTTTTGATATGAAACACATACCTAATTTAAGATAAGTCTACATATTCCTGGCACTGTATGTCCATGGATATATTAGCAGAATTCTCAGTGAGCATTAAGATTGACTTTGTAGCACTGTTTCTTCTTATCAGGACTCCTCTTTGCAGTATACTCCTGTTGGGAGGGCTGAATTTCCACACACCTTATTTTCCACAAAGGTTTCCTCCTACAGCTGCACTGGGAGTCATTCACGATTAGGCAGGCACGCCTGCAGTTGTTTTGCCCTGTGACATCCACTCCCACAAACTTAGTGTCCACGCATAGTTGTGTCTTGCACGTATAGTTGGGTCCAATGTAGGGCTCACACTCACAGAGGTCCACGTCTTCCTGAACTACAGTGAATTCTCTTCTGCATACATGGGGCCATGGCTCAGTGCTGACCACGGCTGGTTCTGTTGGCAAAAACATCCCAGTGCCCAACCACAAAAATGGAGAAGGGAGCAACACAGCCTCCAAACTCACCAGAGATCTGATCCCATCCTTGCCTGTGAAGACCTGGGGTTCCTCTCATGTCCACACAGAGGGGAAACATCCACACTGATGACCCCTTGTTGGTCCCAGACACCGGTGGCCACTCAGCTTTGACCTCTTGTATCTGTTGAGGTTCCTCAATTTGGGAACTTTCTTTTCTCCTCTTCTGCACTTGGCTGTGGCTACATTTTTCAGAAATATGATAAATAGCATCTCTCGGTGTTAGGAACGAACCAGGGCTCTTGAGTGAGCCCATCCATTGTCTACCTAGACAGTGGAGTCAGACAACGCATCCTCTCATGCACCTCTTCCAAGACTCTTCATCTGGCCTGAAATTAGTGATGACTGAGCCACCCCATGAACATGACAGCACGGGCCCCACACCTGCTCTGAGCACTAGGGTTCATGACAAACCTCTCCCAAGGAGGAAACTCAGGCTCAGAGACTGGATGATATTTCTCAAAGTCACACAGTCACTAGATGATAGTTGAATCTTTTTTTTTTTTTTTTTTTGATAGTTGAATCTTTACACAAAGGTCAGTTTTCCCTTCATATTCAGAGCACAAACCCAACCGACTGAGCCCGAAGCTGAAGGCAGGACCAGAGCAATGCAGGGATACCTGCGAACAGAAACAAGGGGCACCAGGGGGCTACGTTTCTAGCAAGATGTGTGGGCGCTGTTGCAAGAAAAGGGAAATCCATGATGAGGGCTCTTGGCAGGGAGAAAACCCACAATCAGGAACCAGGAGAAGAGTCATGTTTTCTCACCATATTCCCCCGTTTTCCTCCTTGAGCTCATCGTCACAGTGAAGCTGAACTCGGCCAGCACAGTTAGCTGTTCAACGCATGCACTGCCGTGAGGCCTGCAAAGCTGGCTGGCCGGGATGCAACACACTGCACATGCATCTTTGTGATTTCCTGCTGGTGGGGGGAGCAAGCGACGTCACAGGCTGCGCATGCGTCTTTGGGATTTCCTGCTGGTTGGGGGGAACAAGCGAAGTCACAGGCTGCACATGCGTCCTTGGGATTTCCTGCTGGTGGGGGGAGCAAGCGACGTCACAGGCCGCGCATGCGGTTTTGGATTTCCTGCTGGTGGGGGGAGCCAGCTGAGACACAGTCTGCACAACTTCCATCCCACACTCCTTTCCTGAAATATGTTTTGATAAAGGACAACTTTTACAACGTAAAAGTATGATTCCATACAGATAAAAAATAAACACAAATCAACATTTGTATTTACCTCATTGTGAATGAGGGAAGTAGGATGATGCCACCACTGTTTACACAGGTCTCCAAAAAGCAGACTCATTTCAGGACGGGAATGTTGAAAGGAATTCTCCAGGGTGAGCGAAGGCTTCTTCCACCTGCTCTTGCCTCCTCCCAGCATTCTCTGTTGGGGCCTGTATTTGAGGATCCTGTACTGTTGATGATTCCTCTGTGGGGTCAGCGATTGGTGATTCTTGACCAAGAGGTGTAGCGAGCAAGCTCCCCCTTCTGGCTTCACGATCCTTTTTTTGTGGGGTTTCTCTGTATTAACCTTCACACTTCTCCCAACTTGAGAGTACCTTGAGACTGTTTGATCCAAACATGAGAGTCAGTTTCAGACACATGCATACGCACATGGGAGAGATGCCCATAGCTGGCAGCACGAGATTTCGTCTGTTTGAGCCCACACAGGGCGGGGTTACTCAATCTGGACCAGGGGCACGTATTACAGACTTCCATCCAAAAACATGGGGAAGGGGAGCCTCAGCTCCCAACCTTTGCCTGGAGCCTGGATATTTCCCCTGTGAAAAGACACTGGGGTCCCTCTAGGGTCCACAAGGATGGAAAATCCCTCTCTATGATCCCTCCATGGTCCCAGGCACCAGTGGGAACTCAACTTTGTTCTCTCTTCCCTGCTGCGGTTCCAACTCCATTTTTGGAAATTTCATTTCCCGTTTCTCTGCATTTGTCCATGGCTGCGTATTTCAGAATTACTGTGAGTGGCAATATTGGGTTTCAGAACAGACCAGGTCTCCAGTGGGTGCATCAACCAAACAGCTGACTGCAGCATCAGACCCCCGGATCCCATCACGTCATCAGGACACAGCCCAGGCTCATCTTGCCTGGTCTGGAAACTCACAGTGACTCTTCACTCCTGTGCACCTGGCACCAAATCCCCACAACCACCCCGGGGTTTGCAGTTCAGGACAAAATGCATCAGATGAGGAAACTGAGGCTCAGAGAGAGAACATTACCACCCAAGGCCATATTGACAGTGGATGCTCCGGGAATATTTTGCTGAAGATGTTTTCCTTCAAAATGTAACCTCTACCCCAAATAAATGTCCCCTAAAGTTTACAGGCAGGACCCCAGAATGGCTAAGACAGCTTTGCCCCCGGAATGAGGGGCACTGGGGAGGCAGGAGGGACTCACAGCTGTGTTCCCAGGATGGGGGGTGGACGATGACACAGGAAGATAGAGAAGACCCTGAAGGCTGAGACAGAAAGAAAGCCCCGGCCCCAGGTGAAGAGAGGGTTTTTGTTTCCTTCCCTGTTTCCCTGTGTTTCTCCTCTGTGTGCATGACCCTGGTGACCTTGACCTGAGCCATGCAGAAATGTCACAGCTGTGTCTGCACTGACATGAGGCCGCAGAGGAGCCGGAACCCACACCCCCTGCAGCATCTCCGGGGCCTGGGGACCCCATGGGAGGTGAGGACCCCTGGGGATGTGCTGAGAATGAAGGAGAACTTGTAGGGGAGGATCTGGGAGGGAAGGACGTGCCCTGGTCTCCTCACCTGGATGGGTCATCTCAGGAAGCCTTGGGTCCACTTGCTGCACCATCACGGACACCAGAGTTGGGCCCCTGGAAACAGGCTGTTCCCCTTCCTGTGGGGCTGCTGACGTGACAACCCCATGACCAGGCAGGCCAGCCCCCAAGTGGCCACACCCTGTGCTTCTGTCTGTCCTGTGGGCACTGAGGTCCCTCCCTCTGCACAGCCAGGGCCAGAGGCAGAGACGCCATGACCCCCACCCTCACGGCCCTGCTCCTCCTCGGTGAGATCTCAGGAGGGGAGGGGATGCCCTAGTCTGGGAGGGACCCACCCCACAACCAGGCCCTGGGCAGTCAAAGACCTCAGGCACAGGAGGGTCATCGGGAGGTGGGGTATTGCTCAGGACTCGGGGCCATCCTCTCACAGGGACTCTCTTCCAGGTCTGAGTGTGGAACCCAGGACCCAAGTGCAGGCAGGTGAGTGTGTCCCCAGGTGTCCCATCCCACCTCCTCACTGGGGACGGGGGTCACCCACCAGGCAGCTGGGAATGGAGGACAGCAGTTCTGGGCAGATGGAGAGGGGACGTCTGGGGGTTTGGGGCTGAGCTAAGAACTGAGGGTGGGGAAGGTCTTGTGATACAGCCTCTGTTTCCTTCCAGGGACCCTCCCCACACCCTCCATCTGGGCTGAGCCAGGCTCTGTGGTCCCCTGGGGTAGCGCTGTGAACATCTGGTGTCAGGGGACCCTGGAGGCCCAGAAGCTCCATGTGTATAAAGAGGAAGG